AAAGAAATTATACGGGAAATTAACAAACGACCAGAGACGTAACAAAGTAATGCTTTATGCTTGTTTCAGAGTTTTCACAAGAAACCTGCATACTTTTACATGTTCAAAGAGAAAGACATACTTACAGCATTGGCTTTATATATAATGAATAAATAAAAGCAAAATACAAATAAATAAATACGTTAGTTACTCAAGTAAACAAACTAAATAATTTAATACAGATCGTGATTCAAGAGTGTTTTTATTATAAATGCATCCTAGACACATGAGAGCTCTTTTCGTCATGGCCCAGAAAAAAACAAAACAAAATTGTTTCAAGGGAACACAATAATTGAATTAAAACGTATTACTTTTATATGAACAGGGTTATAAATTGTTTCTTATTAATGTATAAATGTTTCTTGTTTTTCGTTTTTGGTGATTAGGTAACCCGAATTTAACTTGTTTGCTAATTTTCTCGTATGTATAGTATACTTCTAGTATCGCCATTTCTTCGTCAAAACATAAACTCTTTCGTCATACGATTGAAGTAACTGACTGACAAATTCACCAACTTAATAATCAATCGACGTTGACTTCACTGATTAACACAATAATCAATCACATTTACTCAAACTTGCGTTTGAAACTGAATCATTACGGAACTGAGGAAAACAAGGACAGTTGTACGTTCCACAAATATCTCATTTATTACGACCATCGTTTCGCCAGTAAAGGTATCAATAGGTGCAAACTGAACTATCTCGTAAACAAATATAGATATATATATATGTGTGTGTGTTTGTGTATGTATGTAACTATCTATGTATATATGTGTAACCAAACAACCCGAAGTAACTCTGACATTCACCCCTGAAAAGTGAGGAGGAGCTTAAGCTGATTTTGGTCGTTAAAAACTTTTTCCAGATTCGTTTTTATATTACTACTAGATGAGTTACCCGGCAATGCACGTTGAAAATTTAGATTTGAAATGTATAGATCAGTATTTTTCAGCAAATTATTCAGTAAGTAGACAAAAGCTGTGATGCGAGAAATAAAAAAAAGCATTTAATCAAACAAAGCTTTATTTGAAATTAGATCGTGTTTGAGCTTGTCTTGTTCTTTGAGCCTGAAGACGTACATCATGTTGCTCCTCTGTTTCTTGTTCTCTGTAAGTTATTTGTCTTAATTTTTGTGCTTGAAGCCTAGTTTGACGTTGTTCAGAAGTTTCTTGTTGTCTATATCCAGTTTGCCTTGATGATTCTGAATGAATTCTGGCTTTGTGCTGTTCAACAGTTTCTTGCTGTCTTTGAGTAGCCTGCCTTTCAGCTTAAGTCTATACTTTACGTTGTTCCAAAGTCTCTTCCTGTATTTGAGCAGCCTGTCTTACAGATTGTGCTTGAAGTATTTGATTGCGTTCTTCTT